CATCGATCTGTTCCCGTACCCGCACACAGAAATATTGGCAATCAAAGGTCCGGGAGATAAACAGTGATCTAGTTGAGTATTCTTCACGAAAACAAATAGAAGCGTTCATTGAATAGACTACCGTTTTTTCGTTCAATTTGGCCAGGCATTTGTCTGCCAAATAACCGGGAACTTAGATCTCTGATTGGGACTTCGGTTACGTCGAATTCCCCCTTTTCTGAAAAGCAGCTATCTGGAAGACCCTACAACACACATCATGGAACATTTTTTTCCTATTCGTTCACTAACCTGAGAATGTTCGGAGCGTGAATTCCAATTAGCCAGGGGACTCTAATCATATGTATGTTTGTAAAGTGAGGGAGTTTGAAACATCCTCCAAGCAAGCCTGAGCTTCAAATTACGATCACGAATGTTTTCATGAAGGAAACTACTCACAAGTTTCTTATGAAGAAAATACTCAAGAGGTTGCTGAAAAATAGTTTGACAACCCACGACGGGTTTCGCCCTTCTTGGGGCTCATCAGGTAGGCGCAGTCCCCAAGTTTCCGTCAGCGTTACGCTCTACTTGAACCCTAATTTTACTGTTTTTAGAAGTANGCATGACGTGTGTAATGAAGAAAAATATAACACCAGCCAGGCAATCGAATTTCTAATACAACTGACCATGCACAGCAGTCACGAGTATAAGGCTATCTCTATCTCTTTAATAAGACCAATAGGATGGAAACTACTCACAAGGTTGCTGAAAACTATTCGACCTTGCGAGTAGTTTCCTTTATGAAAATATACTGCGATATCTCGAATATCTGGCCAACTGAAACATGAGGCGGCCTGTGTGCAGCACATTCAGTTGAAGAACATCATAAACGAGAGATTCACGTTGAGTTTCCGTGAAAACCAAATTGATTTGCGAATGAGTGTATTTCTCGATCACGAAAGTGGTTTTGTACAAACACTGTTGGTTTTGTCTCTTCACGGCTGTGAAAAAATTCCGCTTTGTTGTGCTGTACACAGTTTGCGATAACCATCTGGTTTCCTGCTTTCCTAATCAAGGCCATGTTGGTGACCATGGAGAATAACAGGTCGACAGATATGCACTGAGCACATCAGATACGTCTCAAGTCTCCAATCAGATCAACGGTGTAGCTTGATTATCATTAAAGACTGTCTTAGTGTGAATAGTGATCCCTTAGGAGTTCTGTATGTACCAGGCCAAAATTAATAGTCACTTCAATTGAGTTACTTTAAATGGTGCACCTCGAGATGTGTAAAGGCACTATGCTGAACGGGTAGAAGGAATTCGATAAAAAGAGCAGACAGACTTATTAGCGTTTTGCACACCACAGCTATTACGCACTGGGATATGCGCTCCCAAGCTCTGTTTTTCCAGTAGGTGAAGTAAATTTCTGCTGACGAATTATGAAGCGTAGCACAGCTGTTCCATCGTTGTTTCGGGTCATCACGAGTTCCAAGGGGTTCGGAACTACAATCTTCCGTTTCGGAGTTCGACTGCACTGTCACTCAATTCGGTCGTGCGAGCATCATCACGAACTCCAGGGGGTTCGGAACCACGATCTTTCGTGTTGGAGTTCTACTGCACTGTCACTCAATTCAGCCGTGCGAGTAATTTGTGCCCAACGACAAAAACACGCCACTCATTTTTAGTCACCAAGCTACTGTTATATGATCGTCTGTCGACAACTTCTCACAGGAATACTCATGTGATCTGTAAGATGGTTTCTTTTGGGGCAGCTTACTTGAAGCTTGTCAGTTAGTTTTTCAGTAGTAAGAAATCATACACCAAAAACCGTGGTTGTTCGGACAGGGAAACTATGGGTTCAACCAAGACAACCACCTGAATTTCTGTCCAAGCTGATTACAGTCGTATGTTTTTTAAACAGCTTGACATCTGCGCTATGTGTCACGGGAATACGTCGTAAAAGCCTTTGGTACCACATTGTATTCGTTATGCCAGCCAGCTATTACGACGTTTATACCGAAAAATGAGGGTGAATTACAAGTCTGAATAGTTAACTCATTTCACTCGTACCGTGTACAACTTCTTACCTCTGCGTCTCCAGTGGGGCAGTGAGTAAGTCTGCAACGTCTGACCGGATCCCACACGTCAATCGATCCGGTAGCTGTGGCAACAATCAGAATTTCGCGTAATGTAACTGATTGCAACCACAACGGACTGTTTCCATTGCAAGTTTCTGGTCCAAGGAGATAAATTGCCGTGGAAAGCTTGTCAACACATTCCACGGTGGATGCGGGAGGTTCATCAACAAGTTTTTGCTCAGCATTGTCAATGTGCCAAAACAACAAATGCCCCTGGTGAGGCGTAGGCGGCTCTCTGTGAACGTATCCAACCGTAACAAAGTCCATCGGGTACAAAAACGAGCATGAAATCTACGGGGAAAAAGCAAGTAAGCAGTCCGCTTAACTGTGGTAGGAGCAAGTTCATACTGCACAAAAATAAGCTATTCTCTTATAAAGTTCAAACGTTCGGTGCTCTTAATGATAAGAATGTGATACTGTGAATCTGCCAGTTAATCGCCCCTCCGAAAACAATTACTTAGTTTGAACGCATCACGTGACGATTCTCTTCTCCCGTCTTCATTGTTTACCACTTGATTCGCTGTTCCTGTTGTTTTGGTGCTGCACCTTTCTTATTTTTGGCCGGAACGCCAATCGATTTCTGACCTTGTTATTGTACATCTTGTTTAAATCAACACGTGGTTTCGATATCTTGTAGCCACGTTGCTTTGAGACGGTGTAGGTCTTGGGATCTGCTAGGAACTATCAGTTCCTGAACAGGTGTATAGAAGCTGGCGTAATTCCACGATTTGAGGAGTATGAAGGAGATCACGAAACGCTTGGGTGCTGCCGGTGCTACTCGCCTTTTAATTTGGGGACCGCGTGATCCTCACTGTGCCTGGTTGGAGACACTACAAGATATGGCTGCCAACCGATGTCAGTGGCGTTCCTGTTGTCAGTTTCTATGCAGATTACCTGAAAGAATGTCTGGAGGTGTGGGCCCCTCGGAATGATTGTGGTAAGCTAGGACTAAGTCCTTTCCCCGTTCACCTTTACTCTTTCCTTTACAATAGGGCTTTCAAATAAATCATGGTTGTACGGCAGTGAAGCATCGGTGTTGAACACTGATGTTATGCTGTCAATGATGATGATGATTATTATTATTGTATTCGTAGTACCGCGTTTTCTGATAGACCTTTGTTTGAATGGTTTGGCTTTCGGGGTTCTGTGCATGACTCAACGTGGGCTATCTAATTACTGGAAACAATGTATTCTATCTTCCCATTTTTGAAGGCTTCATGGCGTGGTGATTCGCGTGCGTCCATAAATGAAATCAGTTGAAGGCACGCAACGAATACGGAACAAACCTTTGTGATAATGGCTGTTGTCCATGTGAATGAAAGTAGGGTCCAAGTCCGTACACACCACAGACATACAATGGGAGCGCTTTCATCCCCCGCAGTGATCAAGTACTGAGAACTTGAACTGAAAGCCATGGTTTTCAGCATCGGTGCAGGAGTGGTTCTTGGACCAATAGATGCTGCTTCATTGGCTTCAAGACAATGCCAAAGGATGGAGGAGTAATGCAACCTGTGGACCGACTCGTAGTCCAGGGTAACGCGTTGCTCTGGTGCAGAGAGTCCTCGATGGGGATAAAGCCTTGTGAATTTCACCGGCATGCTGACGATTGCTGACGTAACAAGACTGCTTGTAACGAGAAAAATGACGTCAAATTGAAGAAAATCAGTTTACTACATAGACTACTTGTTTATGTATAAGCAATCCAGGTGACTTTGTAGGAAGAATTTGTCCTTTCAGCAATAAACAAGCAGATATTTGCACCAAATCTCAGCGTACTAACGAATGGGGACATATTTGAAACCAAAAGGAGATAAAAGTAACTGGATGAGTCAGACATTCCTTCATAGTGAATAGACGGTACGTCGGTAAACTAACGGGAGAAAGACCGCCAGTGCATGAAACGGGTACTCCGGTACACTTAAGGTAAAAAAAAATCGTGCATACCTTTCCGAAAGTACTTGCATCTGGCATACAAACAATAGCTATTATGACTGCTTTTGTACTGAAGACACGATCTACGGTAATACTTCGGTAAATGGGAGGACAAAACGCCACCCACATCTTTTTCTACCAGCTATAAACTTCTCGCGATGGCTCCAACGATGTTCTATAGGTCAGAACAGTCTAACTATTTGGTTTTTGTTACGGAGGCCTGTATGGTGTGACTGATCAGCCGAATGATATGTGGAGGCATATATAACAAAGGCGAACAGGGACACTCGGGTCACTCTATCAAGTACGCTGAGATGAAGGACGGACTGTGAATCAGCACAAGATCCCACCATTCATGATGGTCTCTTCCAAGAGGATTTGAACACTGTCTTTATATAAGAAGGGAGGGGCGTTGGCTAATAACATGTTACTGTAAAGTGGTTCTTCAGATCACCAAGACTGTGGCCATTTGGCGCAAACTGTTTGAAATGGTTAATTTTACACAAAAATGATCGGAAAAAACAGCCCAACCTAAAAGAGAGCAACAACGATAAACTAGGGACCACTGGGTAGCACGAAGGCTGAAGACGATGATGACGCCATCAACAACGTCGGAAGGAGCAGAAGTACACTGTAGCAAAATTTGCTCGACCATGATTTGTCTAGCTTTTCTATAAAGTATCACATAAACTTGGAATTCGTCCGAGAGAAAGCAGTAAAAATAACCTCGCTCGTGTATTTTTTGAACAGCTGGCCGAAGGTCCGCGAAGTTAAAAGGACAACTACCAATCTGCAGTATTCTCATAAAAGTATTATTTCTCCTATCGTAGTATGTCTAATCTCGCACACAGATATGAAATCCAACTTATTTGAAAAGATTTAGGATGCAAGCAAAAGCCTGGGAAGTTTTCTTCAGTAAATCACCTCGTGGAAGTGTTTTTTGAACAGCTGGCCGGAGGTCCGCGAAGTTAAAAAAAAACAACTACCAAGCTGCAGTATTCTCATAAAAGTATTATTTCTCCTATCGTAGTATGTCTAATCTCGCACACAGATATGAAATCCAACTTATTTGAAAAGATTTAGGATGCAAGCAAAAGCCTGGGAAGTTTTCTTCAGTAAATCAAACGAAAATCGTGGCCCAGCATGTAACGGTTAACTGCTAGCACAACTTTTGCGAAGTTTCACCAAAACATTACAAAATATCCCACATTTTAGCATACATCTTGAAAGATTTCACAAGTTTTGAAACCTGTCCTTTTTGCTGTTCTGTTGTTCTGTCCTCTTGCTGTTCAGACTGACCTTAATAACACCCCAAAAACTTTTAGCGCTCAGTATGATGCGAGTACAAGAACAAAACCGACCACACATTCATAAGTCAACTCTGAGAAATTTGTATATCCTACTCGAATAGTGGCATAAGCTGACTCGGCGAGCACGTACTTGCCTGTCTTGGCACCCCCAGGGCAACCACTTAGTAGGCGTTCTCAGTTTATGGCCGACGCCTGGGTAATATTCATCCTCTTGGGGGTAGCGTAACGACAGTCTTGTCTCGTCCGTTGTTTAACCTTCCTGGCTTCTATACCCCCAAACGTGTCTTGTCTTTTCATGACACGGGGGAAAACCTTCGAACCTAATGACAAAAAGCAACCGATAAAACGTATATGAGAGCTGTCCGACTGGCCTTCCGACTAATTAGCTTATTAGTCCCGCAGCTGAAATATTGGTAATTTTCAAGGGTGAACTTTATGGTCGTGAAGTAGGGGTGAATAGTCTTTTACCTACCGACGTGTACTTTTCATGCATTGTCCAGCCTCGGACCAGAGAGCTGTTGCCCCAATGACGAGCAATCGACGGTTCGGGGACAACACCAGCGAGTTCAATAATTCTCTGATAAGCACAGGTGACAGGTTTGTTTGTCTGCCATCTTTCGCCAGTTGGGTGGCATAGACCACCTGCTCACCGGATTCCAGAGATTCGCAAATTAAAAACGCATCCTGTGGTGCAAGAATGGAAAAAATGAAACATAAGTTTGGAGGATATGTTGCTGCTTCGCTGCCGAAAGTCTCCAACGGTGTGTGCTTACGTCTGGCTTAATTGCAGTTGTGGGTCACAGTAATAACGCACTCTTCTCGGGGGTACAGAAGGCTACTGTTACACTTACAAACAAAACACGAATCATAGTCGCGCTCTCTGTTGAGCAGATACAAATGTTCGTCAGGCATATGGGTTCTAAATGCAGCGATCAAGAGATCAAACAAAAGCAAGAACCAGTTGCCCCTCGGCTGTACAGTGAAATCAACATGAATGATCGAGACTAAAATGTTGAACTTCCTACACCATATGTAGGACAGAATGTGACAAATCACAGCGAGCGCTTCATGTTTCTCATGATTTTTTACTTTTCTTTTTAAACTTTACTCCCTAACACTTAAATGAATTTCTCCTACACTTAAAGGCCAGATAGTATTGTTATGGTGCTTTAGCTTTGCGGAAGATTATAGTGCACATGGCGTGAACAAAGAGTGGATTCGGACTCAAAACCACTGTCGACCAGTCTGCGACCTCAGGTAAGAATATCGTGCCACCAGTGTCTGAGCAACACAGAATGCCATCAAGTTGCCTGGTTTCGAATTGTTTCTGGAAGCTACGTACTATCCTTCATAAACCAACAAGAAACTATAGCGAGCAAAGAGAAGAAGCGATGCACAGGATCTGTCATCATCATCATCATCGGAAACTGTAAGAACCGCTTGTCTCACAGTGAAGGGAGCTATGCAGTGAATGTAATAGCTCGGATGCATGAGCCCCATTGAGGACGCAACTGGGCTATGTCTGACATTATCTCTAACCACTGATATGACCCGTCTCGGGGTATGGGGTTGGGGGTTGGGAAGGGAGCTATGCATTGAATGTAATAGCTTGGATACATGAGCCCCATTGAGGACGCAACTGGGCTATGTCTGACAATATCTGTAACCATTGATATGACCCGTCTCGGGGTCCCCATCCAGGAAGACGGCAATGCTGGTAATGGCTTGCACACTTCACTGCCAAATCATTGTTTGACCGCCTCTGGCTCCCTTCCACCCTTCACGTGGTTGTGCAAAAAGAACCCTTCGAGGAAGTCGGTCGACTGGCATACGCAACACATGACCAAGCCAGCGCAACCTATGCAGTGTGATCAGTTGCTCTATGGAGGGGGTACGCATTGATGATGATCTTCAGTATGGATGAAACAGTTATACAGTGCCCCTAAGTTTCTTGCTTTGAAATGGAACACAATGATGCGTACTCCTTGATTGATGTTTTAAGACATGCTGACCACTTTTCCCACAAAAAACTAATAAATACGGGCATCATTGACCTACGGGAAGAACTTTGTAGCTGATAAGTATACAGTATCTAACAACCCAGGTTTATGGACAAAGTAATCAGATACGCTTCCAATTGAACTGGCCTTTACGCCGACATTTCAAGTATAGTGTCTGTGCTGACCGTTTCCGATAACTTACAGCTGTGTAAACAAACAATCCAGAATCAGGATCCCAAACAACGCTATCCACCGCAACCGGTTGATTCGTATACCCAATAAGACCGTGAATACACTTCCCGCTGTAGGTCCTCAGGGGCATGAATCGCAGATGGCTTTCCTCCCAAGTGATCCTGTCAAATTCAGTGGATATTGGTCGACGAGAATCGCGAGGGCTGCTATTTCGATAGGAATGTTGCCAGGGCACAGAGGATGGATGGTTCCCCGATTTGGTTATAGCATTTTCGCCATTCGGCTGTCTATAAAACGAAGAAAACATTTAGAAAAACGGTGCCTCTTTATATCAGATTGGATACAGGATCGAGCAAGAAATGCTCCGTTTTGACTGCATCTTGTATCCTATCAATGCATTTATTCACCAGTATGTTTGATATGGACGACAAACTTTCCTTGTTGTATGACCTTATCACTGAGAGTGCCCACGGTACTATTTCGCGCTCTCTGTGTACTGGAAACACACACGGACTGGACAGCATCTTATCCTTACGAATTTCCGCCCAGTACAGCACAAAAGTGCTTTACTTTATAAACTATTTCACGGAACAAGACACGTTTGCATCTTGGATAAACGTGTGGTTGAAATTAGATTACAGAGACCTACTGCAGTGGGAGAACTACCTTTACAGTCTCATCGAAAGACACTGCAGGAAAAACAGTCACAGCAGCGAAAAAGCGCATTCCTTGATGGTTAACTAGATGACTGTTCTTCTGTTCGCCGAGCTTGGCAAATGACTTGCAAATGTTTCGTTTCCAGTCGAGGAGGCATTTTCAGAGCGCAGTGAGTACTGAAGATGTCTGAACAAAAGAACGGCAATCAGACCAGCCGTCAGTAAACGCCCCCATGCTACCAATATTTCGATGCCCTAACAAGGCACATTTATTCTGACGTCAGATAGTGTGTTGACCATGGTTTCAGCCAGTTGAAACAAACAGTAAACTAAACACTGCACCATATTCTAGCGCAGCACATAAGGTACCCACACACAGGCTGGATAAGTTAGAATACCAGTCAGTTTTATGTAAAGGTCAGATGTAGATACAGTGTTAAGAACATGAGTACAACAGGCTGGAGACTTGGAACACGAGTGAGTTTTCACGCGCCCAAAAATCATCGCACCCTATCAACTGACTGTACCTAAAATCTGATCGAATCCACTGTCAGTTAATCTATCGTCGGATATCCAGTCGACATGAGACACACCGTTGACCTAACCTCATCGCTCTAGGTTTTAGTGCAAGGGGAAACCCCCACACAGACGAGAATTCTATGAGTCCAAAATGATTAATCGTTCATGGCCTACCCTCTGCGCTCATAAAAGCGTGAGGTTTACCCTGAAACTGCTGTGGTTTTACTGAAGGGTCGCGTGATTTTCGACCAATAAAGATTATCTAAATTACAGTGTGTATTATGTCCCTCATATTGAAAAAACGAATTCAATCGGGAATCTTTTTGTTTTTGCTGAGTTGTTCAGGTCGATCGGCGAGTCATAACGACCTAAGCTTTGGCATTGGACTATAAATTCCTGAATTTTCGACAGCGCATGCTTGCCGTCTGATGCTCTGTTGTTTAGAATTTTTTAACGAAATATCATCGCACACAAAGGAGCAAACTCACGGAGCTGTTCACCATACCCTCCTGCCTGGCCAGAAGTCAATCTCGACTCAAACATTGCTTGTTTTCACCCACTGCCGATGATCCCGCATAGTGACAGAATATCATCAGTGAGTTTTCTACTGTGAAAAAAGTTTGGCTCGTGTCGCAGAACTAATCAAAACAATTGCATTGCTTATTGGGAATCATTGGTTAGGCGCGCTTCCTGAGCACCACGGAAGATCTGTACCCACAAACAGTCGGAAGGATAATGAGTGCTCTTACTCTGAACTCTGTAATTTGCTTGAACTCAGACAAAGTGAGTGGTGCAATACTTTCTCTAGAGCCACTCTGTTTTGTACCATTCCACTGACCTCGAAAATGAGGTTGGGATGCAAAAGAACTACCCAATAATTCTTGGGTATGGAAGACCTTAAAGATTCTTGAAAAACGCAACACTGGTGATTCGCAACGACGATAAAATAGCTGTTCAGAGCTTCTCGGCTTTTCAGCACAGAGTGACTCCACTTATAGGGAAAAATCTCTGATGAATTTTCCACAACCTTTCACCTTACTAACAATAACGAGCTCAGAAGAAAGGTGACGGAAACTTTCATCTGGAAAGTCGTCCCTCGAGGAGCCAGTCCAAGGGTGACCACCTGGTGTGATTTCCTTAATTGAAAGAGGAGTGGCACTATATTCTGTCTAGGTGTGAGTAAGCTACATTGCTGACCGGATGCTTGTGACCAAACGGTCGGGAGATCTCTAGTTCGGCAGCTTTTGGGGCTCCACATTTCTGGTAAGACAACTGTACAGCGTTCCTCCTCTTTTTGGCACCAAATAACTTCACTTACAGGACAAAATCGCCACTGCGGTATTTCCAACTATCCTCATGCAATAAAAACCCATTTACCTTATAGCGTGAGAGAGTTATTTTCCACTAGTGGCCTTCTGACACAGAACATCTGACAAAGATGTACATAAAATGTAAATAACAATGGTGTCTTGCCCATGGAAAAGACAACGAGGACTTACGATATAGGCGTCGCTTCCTTGAAACATACACCAGTTTTGTGTTGTTCACTCGTCCATGGTATAGCCGTACTTTTTTCTCGCTGTAGAAAGGAATACAAAACCCATGAGATGCTAATGAACTCGTGCTTCCGAATGGAAGAGTTGAAGAGTAGAAGACGATGAAGCACGGTTTAGGCAAGTTAAACTATGACAGATAACCATGGTCTCCACAAAAAAACACTAAATCGTCTCAACATCTGATCCTGAATGTGAGCACAGTGGTCCGTTACCCAGGCCGGACTCTCAGGGGCCAATGGACTATGGGGACATAAGTTACTGAAGTACTGATAATTAGTGTAAACCACATGAGGTCTGGATAATGAGACATCCGTCATTTCAATCCCTGTGCGTCTGTTTTTGTTGTACAGCAACTATATAGTCCTGTATGCTTCTGATGTCAGGAGCATGGTCGGAGATTGTACTGGTGTGACGGTGATACTACTGATGGGAGGCATGCGAGTAATAAGTTTTCTTCTTGTAAATTCGCTTTGCGTCTCTTGAAAAGAGAGATCTGTTGCGGAATTTGTGGAGTCGCTTTGTAGCATTTGCTTGGATTTGAGCAATGAATGATTTGAGTCAATGAATATTCAGGAAAGTTCAAGAAGACGCGTTCAAAGAGAAGATGGATATTCGGTTTTGTAAACAAGATGCAATTGAATTTTGCTTCCCTGTCCAATAGTCGTAACTGGTCAGTTGGCATTTCCTAATAAATAAATCCGCATCGAAGGCCTCTTCTTTTCAATAGTAGCCCGAATTCGTTTTACAGCCGGCTCCGGGTAATCACAAGTGGACTGACAACATAATGTCATGCTGGTCGGTTGCAGTTTTAAGGACGCAACTACAGTCCTTTCTACACTATCCCCAAAAGGTGGCATACACATAAGCATGAAGCCAAGGCTTATTTGCCGATTGAAAAGGTCAAAAAAGAAACATCAATCACGTGTCGATTTTCTCATCTCTGCCCTACACGCAAAAGAAACAAAGGAACAATACGGAGCAGTCAGCTTACAAGTAAGCGTGATGATCGGATAACTGAGCAACCAATGGGACGTAAAGGCTTTCACAGACTGTCACATATTAAGGCCCTGCTCACAATTAACAGAGGATACATGGCTCAACATATTGCTTGTCGCGCACCAGAATTTGATCACAGTCGGTGGAGGGAATTCTGCCGTAAGCCCACAATTGTAGGAGCAGACGTAGCACGTCTCACTAAGGGTTTACGGAACCGTAACTATGTTCAGTCACTCTCACCATCGTCCGATGCTAACCACATAAGGATGGTTGGATGGCCCCAACCGTCAAATTCTTTCCAGTGTATTTTAATACCGTTACTCATGTTAATTGGATGTTTTTTACGACGTAGGTTTTAAATGTCAGAATCGGAAATTTCGGCACTTGACATTCAACAAACATTAAAAGATGAACGGTTAATCATCCTTGTATTGCCAAAAGTCTCACCAAATCGCCTTTAGGGACCAGGGATGTGAAAGCTCGGAAATGCTGACAAGTTTTGGCTTACTTGCAATTCCTGTTCGCAATGACTTAGTGCAAAATATGGGTGGGTGGGAGATGATGGGAAACAGTTAATGAAACACGGAAACACACCATGGGTTATGTCCATGCGCCGAAATGGAACTCACCGGTGTTTTGTTTCCTGTAATGGGGACTGAGGCAAAGAGAAGATGAGTATCGCTTAGAAGCACTTCCAAATATAGTAGCTAGTGTTATATTTGAATCATCATGCACGAATCATCAAAGACTGAGACTGCCTAATAGAAAGCAGTAGTTTCGCCGAAGTCTAGCTATTTTTTAGTCTACCAGACCAACATCGTTGTAGATTCTGCAGTAAACATACAATGAGTGTCACTGTGGGATGTTGGAAGTGTCGTTGATGTGGGAGATGAGTGAGAGATCTTACATGAAGTCCCTAATGTGACATAACTGGTTTGTGAATTTTCCATCCAGATGATTTCTTTCTAGAGGGCTTGATTTTTTAGGGATCACTCCCTTTAGGCCCCTTATGATCATTTACTTCATCGTGTGTAGCTCAAGCTCAGACTGACCGCCTTCGTCAACAGAGAAAAATTCTACACATTTGTTTCCGACCTGAGGTTGTAAACCTAGATCTGATTGGTGGATGATCTTTAATTGGTTATTCATCCCACCCCCTTTAACTCGCCCGTGAGTGGCTACTGATGACGAGCGATGATGTATACTGCGGAAGACCGGTATCAGTGAACATCCAGGCCAGACTCGTCAGGATGGAGAAAAGGTGACGGAAGCGAAAACCCGAAGTAAAGAAAAAGGTGATACCGCTTTTTAAATAATAGCATTCATTTGTTTTTCAGAAACACAACACAAGGAGGTATTCTAGCACCCTGGATGTTAGTAGTAGGATAATCCCAGGCCCCCTCCCTTTCCCATTTGATATTGAAATGTCTGTAAAAAAGTAAAGCGCTGATTTTTTAGCTGATGTCTCTGATAATGAGTATGTGTGTACCGAACTACTTAGTGAGTAGTTTAGAACGTGCCAGCATGCCAATTATCATTGAAAACTAAGCACATGCTCGTGAGCAACACGTGTAGTTTTGTACTTTTTAATTCGTATAACGAACGGCTTCAAGCAAGATCAGCATATAAAAGTCTCGGTCTGTCATCCGCTACCTAGTTTAAATAAGTTTGAAATATGTGATCTGTGTTTTGTTCGCTGAGTTTGGCAGAACTGTTCCTTACGGTGGATCTAATAATAACCAAGTCGGTGGGTTCAAATTTGAATGTGTGATTGTTGTGACTTGTTGAACGCTAGTGCAACTCTGTATCGGTCCCTTGGCTTCCTGCTCTGCCCACTATGATATATCAAAAGGCACGGTAGCTCTACACAGCCCTTTGTAGAGACAAGAAAAATTATTACAACTGCATTTATAGGGTAATCATAGAGTGTTTCGCAAGATCTTTCTAGAATCTCCGTGAGGGGGCGAAAGGCGTCGAGTCAAAGATGCTCGATCCGGATTGGCTGTCACTGACCAATCAGGGCATGCCTTCGTTTGGTCCGTATCCTGCACGTGACACATCCGTCCAAATGGTGTGATGTTCGGTTATTAGGAACGGCTGGTCTCCAGCCAGTGGTAATGAAGAAAACATTATCAGTTTTCGGAAAGATTACGTCGGTCGGCTGCAGAACCACACTTTGTCATTTGTCAGTTTTCGGCACAATTGACGACTATTTAGGAAGAACGCTTGATCAGGTTTCCAATTTAAACCAACAGCAGATTAGACCAGGTCACCTTGAAAAAGCAACTGGTTATCTGCAAATGAGTGGGCGCGTGTTCAACAGGCAAACCATGTGTAACCGACAAGAGAATCATCTCACTCCGGATCACTGTAGACCAGCCTGGTGTGCCTCACGATACTGCAGGAGTCTCACTTATCAGAGCTAGTTGTAAACACATCCATGGGAAAACTATGCCTAATCCCCTCCGCCAAATACCTCGCTTGTACTGATATCTAACTAAGTATGTCGCCCAAAACCCACTTCGTGTTTCAGTTGGAACAGTCAACAGCCTGCCACAAGTATTTCCCTTCTGACGATCCGTCAGTTGGTTTTGGTTCTTGAGTTTCCACCAGTTCTGTTTCCTGCCGAAACACCAAGTTGTACTGAAGCGAATTTGAACACGAAGTGTCGATGGAGGACTGAACTGAATTTCAGCTGAATCTTTCTTCCATACTAGATAAGATAATGTCAGTTTGCGCAAGCCTAGACTTGAGTAGTCGCGATGCAAAGGTTGGGTTCGAACCACGAAACTTTTGGTCCGTGTGCTCGCTGCTTAGTCATTAGGATAATTCAAGTTTAGTGCGTGTGTTTGCATGCATTTTAATGTTTAGGTTGGAAACAAGTTTGAAACCTCCGGGACCACTTTCGCCTGATGAGGCCTGAAAAGAAAATAGGCTAAGGGTTCTTCAGTAATTTCCACCATTCTTATATGTTATGCTGGGTCTTGTCCAGATACACACTTGTTAGGGATGAAATAACAGCAGGGCGTGGGTTGGTACCGCTCTGTAAGATGCAACCACCTGTGTGATCCTATTAGGATTTGCACTGGTTTGCAACCTTACACCCATATTATGCTTGTTCGAATCTGCCTTTTCATTCTCAATAAATTTTCAACTCAGGATGAGGAGGTGCTGGTCACAGGAATTCTGGATTCAGATACCAGCATGAGGAAACAATGGGATATTTAGTATTCAAAATCAAGAGTTCGGTCACTTCGAATTAGCTGCGAAATAATTAGATTCAATGGCTTCAAACTCCAGTAAATTAGATGAAAAAATGAAAGGGGAAAGCGTTCCGAGGTCAAAAGTTGGCGGATCCCAACCCCCAAAGCGCTACCACAATTCAGTCATAATTAGTTTGGCGTGGTGCACTGTCTGGCAATAAGTTTCAGGGCGGTCGAGCACACTAGAACCACCATAGAATTATGATGCTCATGTATCTTCACACAAACGCTAATCGGCCTCGCTTTGGGAGCCGCCAATACATTCATCACAACGCACCACGAGGTAACGCCGTTCCAGACAAGCTGTGTTCCGTAATTTGGCGCCTTTTACTTTTGGAAAGTTGCCACACATAGATCGCACTTCCCAAAGCTGGGGTAGACGCCTCATTGGTGACTCCCACCCCTCCATCCACAGTCAAACAAAAATGTTGATCGCCCGTGATCAGGATTGCACTGATAGCATGTAGATGTCCGACGAACTGCCTGAATTTTGGCACGGAGACGGATGAATTTGTATAGTTCTTTTCGGGCCCGTCCGGCAGCTGACAAAGGTCGGTTGTTGTGGTGTACAGTACTGGCCGAGCTGGTAAGAAAGAAATAACGGGGTTATTAACTCAATGGTAAGCTTTTCTGTCAGGCCTGTAGACCACTAAAAGACACCTCTGAAACATGAATCAACAGATTGTTTTAAAAAATAGTTTCCTTTACTCCGATCGCATTTACTTGATTTTCTAGCGGTGTGTGAGATCTTTCAAACATTTAGCGGTAGTTTATTCCTTTCTCCAGTTGACCATCTCTGAGGCATTCGACATTGTGAAATTTGTGAGATTACCGCTTGGCTGCCTTAACTGGCAAGAAAAAAAACTTTGTTTAATAGTGTTTCGAGAGGATAACCTCCAAAACTGACTGACAAGGGGACTAATATAGTCGGGCACAGTCTTGCAACAGGCAAAGAAAGCAATAATCAGTTGTAGAAAATTTTTCAAGTCAAAACACCGACATTTTGGTTGCCGTGGATAACCTTTTTCAAGGAAATCTACAATCAACGAAGCGGTGTTACTGATCAGTTGCTTACCAAAGAGTTCCAATAACCCATGTGGTGTACAAGACACTGTGCATCCCTTATATACCATACAAGCTATTCACTGCCGCCTATATTGTATTCTGTTTGCTCTCTGGCCTTGTATAAGCTCACATATAGCACTGTTCAGAGTACCGAAATTCATGCTTCTTTTGGTTTCACTTTCGAAACTGATATATAAAGTGGGCTAACCCGTCAATTGGCAAGGTCACTGATGCTAACATGCAGCTAAATCAAGATAATTTTACCTATCTAAAAGATCACGAATGAAGGTGCGTGAAGACAAAAGAACAAGTGGCGCTTTTGTTATATTACACCACTCATTTGACAAGAGCACCTCCGAAAGGGACCATTCATTGGGACCCGTTATTTGCTAGCAGGCCAGGAGAAAATCGTTCTGATCTGACTCAGTTTCTTGCTGTTGCCAAAAAAATCACTGTATCCGTACACTTCCCGTCCGCGGAAATCCAGTGCATATATACGACGCTGTTCAGTCTCGACAAAGCGCACTGTGAGCCAAGCTAGCCTTGTACTTTCTGTCAAACCAAAGTAACGACTTGGTCCCATTTTTGATCCCCAGGCCATTTGGCTTACACTCCTTTCTCGGAGCTGGCACAGTAACTGAAGATGTTAAATGAATGGACCATTGCTTAAAGTGCAACGATTTGGGATTCTCAAACAGTAGTTTGCGCAGCATGTATTTTGTCTCCATATGTGGCAAACGCATAACAGTCTGATGAATAAGAGGGTCACGTGAATTTCCAAAACAGTGTGGTACATAGGACAGCGAGAAATTGCTTACCTTGTAAAGTACAGAGTTTAGGAACACAGACTCCTACAGGCATTGTGACATTGCAGTCTCCATTTGGGTAGTGAGTTTAATTAAAATGGATTTATAAGAAATAGTGCTATTAATCCTCTTAATGTATGTAGTTCTTCAATGAAGGATATGGCGCAATTGGTCAGATTTAGAAGAACACGCTATTGTGTCCCCTCCAGAGAGGTCTTTTCATTAGACCTTTTTCTCCAGATGTAAAACTTACAGTCAGGATTATGGAACTGGGTGACGTAACAGGTAAATTGTTAAGTCATTTTGAAAAATCTATCCCCAACTTACCTGCGGCTGCCAAAACAACGTGCTTTCCGTCTGGACTAACGCACATTGCTGACCAGTACGCACCTTCTTGCATCTCACAATATTTTGTCTTGTGATCCTTTCTATCGTCTTTTTCGTTAACGCTGTGTGGTGGGCGACAATGAGCAATCAGTTCGCCAGTACTTCCTTCGAAGCGGCAAAGGTACCCATCGGGCCTAGCTACAAGTAAATCGTGGCTGTCCGTGATTGGATTCCTGCAACTGAAGTTTAATAGTATTCTTCTGTGGTCTAGCTGATCACCAACTACCTCAAAGGATTCTCCAGGGTTCTGTATGAAAAAAAGAGAAGAAATATGTGGGAAAAGTTGTGGCTTTAATTATCACAGTGAAACTGAAACCAGATAACATTTTGAGGTGACCCATCAACAGTAAAAAAACGGTTTGAGGTCTAATCATGAGTGAAGCCTCTTCCCCTTAGAGTGGTCGAGAAGTGGGCTGAACTCCACAAATCAGGAAACACTTCGAGGACACACACCAAGATCCCGGGAACAATTTCCTCAACATGAAATCTGTCCTAATGCACTTAATGCAGTCCTAGTGGGACAAACCAAGCACCGAATGAATGAGTCCATCTTAGCGAAATACCCTTATTTACAAACAAATTTGGTTTCGCAAGAGACTCACCTGGGACCCAGCTGAATCTCTCGTTTGTGATGTTTTCAGGTAACAGCTGCACCAGGCTGTCTCATGTTTCAGTTGCTACGATATTCAAGATATCATGATACATGTAAATTCGTAATGCACTACTCGAAGAATTTCCAGCAACCTGCAGTAGTAGTGCACTACGAGTCCATCTTATTCAATGATTGCTTCTCCTCCCCCCTCGGAATAAAGAATGAGAATGTTATTTAAATCTGGCCAGAATTTGCTGCAGGCATGTCAGCCGGTAATCACGTGAAAACGGCCAACATCACGGCCACATAATATCGCATGATATTATCGATCTGGTATTGATTTGGTGGGTTAGCATCCGTTTCCAGATTGGCCCGTCACACCAAACTAAGCCGATGGATTTGTGTTGAGCTTTAGGTGCAGCCAGCTGAACTCCCCGTACCAGGTGTAAACCAGAGGGAATGAAGCACAGGATGAACAGACAGGGCAGTTTTAAAGCCAACAGCATGCTAAAGTGGAAGCCCATCGCCCTTAGGTACTTTGGAGGCCACTGAACAGCTGGGCTCCATACTGTCTGTAAAAGGTGACATGGTGACACGCAGTGTGCACGTGTCTACCTAACGCACAATTACGGTCACCGAAACAGATCTGTGACTCGGTTGTAGGATAGCTTTGACAAATCTACGGCCAGTCGTTTTAAGTCGGATAAGTGAATTACACGGTAAATTGAAGTTGACTGAGTTAAACTCAACACAATACACTGTAATATACGTAACGCACATAATGTAAACCTGAATGTGCAACAAAAGCCAAAACCGCAGGTGTTAGATAGCGTGCCGTGTAAACCTTCTAGAGATCCGGGCGGTGTAGTCAAGGCTTGACTTGAGTTTCACACGCTAAGGGTTTGGAACATAACTCAAAGAGTTCTAGCATGGATTCAAGATAGACAAAGTAGCCACGAAAACCGACTAATGCTTGATTACCCTTAAGTCTTCGGAAAAAAGCCCATCTTTAAAGATTGTATATCCCTCAAATATAGTTGGTCTTCCACTGGCGTGATTTGTAAGTGCATCGACTGGTACACATACTACTGGGCTATGATTATCTGGCAGATATCATGTCGGTGATCATTTTTCGAGCACACCATGTTAATGTGCTGATAAGTATATCAGCTGCATATGCAAGGCTTCTTTCTGACTATGTGGGGTGTTCTGGCGGGGGCGAGAATAGTTAACACACCCTAACAAAAGCTTCAGTTGAAATTCCATCCAACTAGTGATTTCTATCTGAGCTAGAAATCTTAAAACAGCTGTTTCGTCCCTGTTGACCGTACAGTGATAATGGTTCCTTGGAGAGATTCACGAGCGCGATCACTCGCGATAGTGATGACAACTCAGATCGGGGGCTCATTAGGCCTGTTCCCTTAGAGCAGAAAGACATTTACTGCAAATCTTTGTGAACATCGGGACGTTCGTTGACGAAAACGAAGGAGGTGACAGAGATGGTTCCTTCCAGATACCTGTTGCCAGAGAAAAATATGAAAGATTTAGCATCATTTACGGTGAACTTTTTTGAGATGTTGACCGACACAGTCACATTCAATAAAACGTCTGTCGATGCGTGTGGCGAGTTAGTTGGTTTCCAGACTTAGCCGAACTAAAGTGGCCAGAAGTCGGTAAACAACTTTTGCAGAGGGAATAAACAAAAGTTCGTCATTTGTTGATTGAATCAACTGGAATTCGATTTCTCCCTTTTAGAAAACGCAAAAGAAACTCTTTTAACCATTGCAAGATTCGTATTTTGGTCCTCACCGTCTGGCACCAGGATTCTGGTAGGAGTTTGTTCCACAAAAAATATCAAGCCCTCAAGATTCGGCAAAAGTCACTTCCATGTTTGTTTTACTCACCTTGTCAACAGCTCGGTTTAAATCCACCTGGAATAGAGTTTCCAACGTATAAGCTTGGGCAACTGTGATCAGCAGGTGTGTTTGGTCAACATATACCAACTTTTGATCATCGGGGCTCAGTGTGAGGTCACTCTGAGATAAACAGCAAGTTAGGGAGGAGTATGTGTGCTTAAACGAAGGTTCCACACAACGACGAAAGACAGCAAGGAGAAGTATGTGTGTTTGGACGAAGGTTCCACACAACGACGAAAGACAGCAACTGCACGGCTGCGATTTTTAAGAAGCCTGGGTTCGCGTTCTTTCTTCTCGTGGTGGTACGGTAGTCTGATTTGGGGGACATCCCAAAGTGCCAATTCACCTGAGGTATCAGTTGCGTACAAGTAGGTACCACAGCTGGAGAACAGCAAAGCTAAAAGAGACGGCGGTTGGAACAGTAGAACAACTATTCTGTCACGTCTCATGCTGACAAAACACGAATATTTGAAGGTTACGCTTCCTAGGTTCGGATATCTTGTGAGAGTGAGCCAGTCAGAAAACTTTTGACCACAGGAGCGCCACAATTATGTCCAGCCAGGGTTCGTTATGGTATTATTGCGTAACAAACAGCTGTTTGCGGATAACTGATAGCCGTTTTGTGCACAATACGCGTTGTTCACTAAAACTTATACTGTGCTCCTGTTACACTAGATCTCCCTTCATAACCCTAGTTTAATAAGAGATTAAGTGATAAATTGTACCGGGTTTTCGAAAGCGGAGACGGCCATACTACATCATACTGTTTATTGTTTGA